ACTTATGACTAACCGCGTGTTTAGAACTCCTGAGTGAAATGAACTAAATTGGTCATATATATTAAAATTATTTCTTTTGAAATATAAATATGTGTTTTTCAATTTCTGTAGAAATTAAAGTATATATTCCAGTAATAGTCAGCAAATTCAGGGGAACTGAATAATAAAAATAAACACTTTACATTTACGAAAGATTTGAACTAAAAATTTACTTTATAATAAAATTATTGCAAATTTTAAAATTATTTTTCGATATGTATTTTTCACTTTATGTATGTATAAATATCATTTAAATAAATCCGAATATTTTACATAAATATTCCAGGCAGATATCTTAAGTCTTTTGGCCAGAAGATTATTGTGTTTAAATAAAGAACTTCTGAAATTGAATTTAAACATATTTATATCATTTTCGCTCAATGTTTAAAGTTTTTCCAATAAATAGACTATACTAAACTTTTAATATTGTTGTTTGTCTATTAAAAATATGCAATAGTTATATAAAAACAACATATTTATGTTATTTATTGCACGTTGTTAAACGTAGAAGATACTTTGCATACGAAAGAACGGATCACAATTTAATTCGCATTTGACTCGCAATGAAATTGCATTATGTATATTTCGCCTTCTTCTCACTAATTCAATTGCAGTTACGCAACGCGGATCACCGATGCGATGAATATAATTTGGATTTGCATAACGTTAAATAATAAAGTGGAAAAAATGTCAGTTGAGAAAGCAACGTCGAGCGGCAATAAAATAATAATTTGAGAAGGAAAAAAAAAAGTTTAGTAAACAATAAACGCGTCCTAATTTATATTCACTTTGTACGTCCATATATTCCGATATTCTCTTATTGATGTGGTCAGATCTGGTTGTTAGTTGCCACAGATAATGTTGCAACGATCGGAAATCGTTTATCTTTAGGAAACCGCAATGTTATGGGATTAATAAATAAGAAGCTCGGCGTGCTTCTCCTCCTCCAGATTTCATCTAACCTGAATCAATAACAACGTGCCGGAGTTACTTCGAAGAGGCACTAAAATGTTGATGATATAATGCATTGATTCTTTGAATATTAGACGAAGTCTCGTACATTTTAATGATAGCTATATTTTGTAACGCGTCTCCCCTTCTCTCTGACCACGTGCGACTGCGAAAATCACGGTTTCGGTCTATTCATTTATTCTATGTGCATCTGACGATATTGCATTTCGGTATTGAATTGAAATGCGTTTATTTCTGCTCCTATCGATTAATCAAATGAAATATAAATGGCACACGTCGTGCCAATTCTGTCGTAGCTTCCAATATTATACAATGTATATTATTTAAAACTAAATCCATGTACGTTGATGAAATTTTATGCATGAATAATAATTCATAAATGTGTTTTCGAAATAAATATTAACTCAAAATTATTGTTACTATATCATTTCAATCTATTAGTACTTCATTTACATTCAGTATTTCCTCAAATTTTATAATATATTTATTAAAATTAATCAAGCATAACTCGGTCAAAAATTTGAGACTGTTGCACCATTTTACAATAGCGGACCAGTCAAATATACAGTTAAGAACATGTTTTGAAATAAGAATCTATAAGGTAATGATCATTTACATATATATATATATATGGAGTATCAAAAAACAATGTTTTGAATAGCACGGAACCAATTAACCGTGTTGTTCAAGAGTTGACGATACATTATTTTATAAAACAAAACATATTTGCAATCAATTTCTTTCTATTTCATCCTTATTAACTAGATTATAATATTTATTTGTTAATATTTTAATTGTTCCTATTCCTGTTTTTCAGACAGGAGTGTCTTTCTATATTCTATGTATATGTACATATATTTAGCGATATATCACATCTACCAGCTTTTTTGGTAAATGTGACTTACATTTACCCACCATTTCTGGAAAATGAGTACATATATCTAATGATGTTGGTAAAGTTACGTTAACATTTTTTATCTATTCATGATATACCAAATATTGAAGTATCAGTAAGAAAGGTTATTCCGAAGGAGTATGTAACTGGAGGGCAAGGATTTAAGAAATGCAACTGCAAAAAATGTAGTTGTAAAGTAGCTAAAGTTATGTGCAATTCAAAGTATCATTATAACACTCCTTGCTGTAATAAGCCAACCAAAATGGTAAATGTGTATACTAAATTTTAGTCGACATTAATAAAAAATATTTATGTAATCACAACAATAAAATAAAATATTAACTGGGAAATTGGGAAACTATTCCTACAGTTCAAAAGTTATATCGATAATTTAACAATAATATAAAGATAAAAGTAATTCTTTTTAAAAATGTTGTTTCCGCGTGTAAAGTTTGAAAATATTACTAATAAATAAAAATATAGTTTTGAATCTTAAGGCTATTAAATGTATAATAAGACTTTATTAATATTATACATAATTAATAGTAATCTTAATAAATTATAAAATTTGAATAATTATACAACAAATAGGAAAGTGTGGGTCGATGACCTTTCTATCTAGACGTAAACATCATTTAGTTTAGTTTTTATTAACGATTGTGTGGGTTGTATGCAATTTTTTGTTGTAAATTATTTACTAATAATAATTTATTGGTAAGATAAAAATGAACATAAATTGAAAATAAATATAAATTGTAACATAACAAATATCAATAATAAATAAATAAGCATAAATAAACATAAATTATAAAGCTTAGGAAAGAAAGAAAACAACAATTTATTATTTTAGTTAGGTTCAACATCCAAAAAGTGCAACGATTAAAATGTCTATTATTGGAGATTTCATAACCAAAGAGATAAAATGTAATAAGTTCATCTCTTTCGAAATACTAAGATTATCAGAATTACAAAGAAATTCACTTATAATGCTTAAAAGCATTTTAATAAATTATTCTGTGCTATTATTGAGAAACAAAACTATATATACAAAATATTAGTCTATTTAAAGAAACAACCTATTTATGAAATTAAGAGTTTAATATTGTAAATAAATAATGTGCTGCTCATAACTATCTACACTGATGATATAATACTTTTTAGGAAGGTTAACTAATTACCTCATGTTTAGAATATTTATGAATATCAACTAAAGTAAGTTTAAATAAAAATATTCTAATATTTTGTGCACAAAACAGAATAGAAAAAAATAAAATTAATTAATAATTGTTAAAATTAAAATATATTTTTTAATTCTTATAATTATACGTGATTATATAACACGAAAGATACTCATACCATTTCTAAGTGTGACCCGTTTTACGATTGATAGATTGCAGAAAAACAAAATACTGAATTTAAAAGACATAAACAAGAACATTTCTCAACGAAAAACAAACTCGTAACACTTTCGCTGTAATTTTTTTGTTAATAAAAAAAACTGCTTCAATTAGTGTAACATTAATACACCAATATAAGCATTTTACGGATTCACTATAGTCCGGTTTAAACATTTCAAAACAAACTAAATTTTAATTGAACAAAATAAAAATATATTTTAAAAAATTAATAATTATCGTGTTTTGCTTTACATAGAATATTTTTGTGCGGTTTATTTTTTAGTTTCTTGATTAGTCCAGGATGTTGTCAAATCTTAATTAAATTTGATATAAATATATGATTTTATAGTTCTATATTATTATTTATATCGTTACTTTAACTACTCATATTATCCAAAATCAGTTAAAAATAAGATATTTTGCACATGATTTTAAGAGCACGATAACGATTTAAGAGTCCGATATTCAAATATGCTTTCATATGTATTCAATGATAATTGTATGCAAATAAATTAAAGAATTGTGGGTTCGATCACGTCTGAAATTTACATTAACAGCAATAGGAAACATTTGTACAACAATTGTTTTAATGCGTTGCATGCACGTCACTTTGTTATTTATGTTTACGACAAATAAATTCTTGTAATTGTGCAATTCAAAATATTTAACTTAAATGGAAATATACTTTTATTCCATTAACTCATTTCAGATTGAAGCAACAATTATTTTTGTTTGTATGTTGCATAATTATTCATCTTCTAAACGTTGTGATTTAACAGATCATCTGTAGTATTATATTGTAGACCGGTTTATCACAGATACAAATATATCAATAGTCGAATAGTCCGACTTTTATCAGTGCGGATACACTTTTTAATTGAATAAAATAAATACTAAAATATTAATACTTAACTTCATCGATTCCGGTTTCAATCAGTCCGGGATATTAGCTAATCCAATTACGCAGACTGTACCCGAAGGTATAAATTTATATTATGTTTTGTCTTTGAAGCAAATATTATATTTATAAAAATAGTGACATCCTTACTTTATAGTCCACTAAGGTTTGGCGTTTCCTGATTTGTGTTCATGATTAAGTGGAGGTCATTTTATTTTTATTTATTTATATATAAAATGAAGTATCTAAACTGTTTACAAAGATGGATCTGAGAAACACCTGCGTAAAAAGAATATTATTCTTTGAAATCATAAATGAAACATAGTTTATTGAATTACAATTTCTCTAAATCGAGTATCTAAATTAATCATCGACGCACTGGACATAAATCGATGGTGTAGAAATACAGACGGCATTTCTGAACACTATACTGGACTACTTTGTAATATAATAGTCTACCTAGTTATACAATCTTACGGATTTCTATTTTTTCTATACAAAGTTGCAAGACTAGAGATCTGCATTTTACAACTATGGAAATGTTCTTGGCTTATCCATTAAGTTTATCTGGGCATCAGATTTATCGATAGTTTCTACATTTACAAATGACTTCCATTGTATAATCATCCAAATAAAACCACAAATAGTTGTAATTAGTTACTTACTAAATAGAATAATTTTCATATTTAAAACAATATTAAACCCACAAAAAATTTAAAATTATTAACAAAAAAGTAGTAAGAAAATAAGTACACATTGCATTAGTTTAACATTACAATTTAGATTTGCATATACTTACTTATATCTACGGCCTTATTTCTGCCACCCATTCTGTGCTTATTGAATACACACAATGGATTTTATTGTTGGTGAGCTTCGAACTTGTCACCTTTTGTAAAAAAAAACATATGATCATAAGAAAATTTGCAATAATTATAAAATAATTAAAGTTATTTCTTAGAAATATCATTAAAAGACTTAATCAATACTATAAGGACGATAGTACATTTTCTATCCTTTATAAAATAACAAATCATTAAAATTAAATTCATCTTTGTTTTTTTTTCTTTAAGTCTGAAGTCTAGACTATCGATACAAAAAAATCTAAATACATTATTGCATCCGAAACAGGAATATATTCAATAATATTCAAATTAATTACGAATATAAATTAGAAAATGAATGTATGAATTCGAGACAAAATTATTTATGGAACATCGACGTATTTCATGGGCTACAATTTAATGTAATTATATTTGTACATTAATTAAATATTATTAATTAATGTACAAATTATTTATATTTAAACATATAATTATAATATGAAAATACTTTTTACTATAAATTATTAATTAATCAAATTTATTACGAATATAAATCAGCAAAATAATTATTGACAACACAATGTAATGAAACATCGACGTATTTTATGTACTTTAAATTTATGTAATTATATTTTGTATAATAATTTATTAATATTCAAATTAAATTTTTCATTTTTTATACAGTCATACCTCGATTAACGAATGGGATGTGTTCATCGATATTATATAATTTTAAAAAAAAATCGTTTTCAGAAGTGAAAATACTATAGCCAGAATCTTTCGTAAAGTAGATGTAATGCTTTCTCGAAAAAGAATTATTAAATAAACAATCAACTTACTTATCTGAAATCTTAAAATATGACTTTAAAGTTGATTAATTGTATTTTCTTCTTCTCTTTTCTTTAACAATTGATTACACGGAGTTACTGCATTTAACAATGATCGCTTAACAATGACATTTAATTAAGAAAAAAAAAACATTTTCAATGTCATTTAAGCATCTTTTTAAACGGTGGCAATCGAAATCCCGACAACAATAATAATTGTAGGGGAGTTTCTTAAAAATATTTTTTTGCGAATTAATAATATAATTGTTAAGGTTTATTATGAATAAGCCCTATATCAAATAATAAAAGATACTGTCGGGATTTTGATACTGTTGGGATTATGGTTGTCGGGATTTTGATAGTGTCGGGAGTATTGATACAGTCGGGATTTCGATATAGACTCCTTTTTAAATTAACAACCAGGCATTTAAAATATACATGCTTTCTCCAGAAACTTTTTTATTTGTCTTCATTTTCTCTCATACTTCGTTGCTAATAATACGTTCTAACATGAAGTGTATGTAGATATTTTCGAAACTTATTGATTGAGCCGTCTGTAGAACTTCATTACAAATTACAAAGTAGTTTTACTAAATGGGGCTGGAAATTGTGGACTTCGTTATATCATAGCTTCGTTCACCGAAGTATGACTATATATATACATCTTAATTGGTTGTCAAAATAGATTTTTAGCATAGATTGATAATTTAAATAATAATAACAATATATTAATTTAAGATAAACAATTAAAGTATATGAAAATCATATTGTCTGAGAATATACGGCGTATTATAAGAATATCTATGTGTTAAATATTATTAATTAAGATGTGATGTGTGTTTATTTTACTATATTAATTATCGCATAAATTAATTTTAATAACTCGATAATTTGATTTGACTCTTTACTTTTTTTTCTAGAACAGAATAACAACTTGATGATAATTTAATTTAAGATAAACAATGGATGAAACGCATAGGAATGCGAAAACGTTACAATTGTACCAATTTAGAATGTGGTGTGCGAATTGGCATACGAATGGGAAATACTTTCAAAAATTAAACCTCCTTTAAACGACAGCCCAAATATTCGAAACAAGTGTCGAAACGCTCATGACCCACAATCAATTTTGAACTACAAATTGCATAACCGTTATTTCACGTTGTTGTTTTTATATATATATACTTTATTAATGCAACCTAACGAAAATAAACAAGAGACAAGCACATCCGGACCACTTGCATTGTTTTTAATTAATATGATGAACTGGAAACATAGAAAAGGTCTGTGCTTTCATTTTATGTAATTTTAAAATAATTAACAAACGTAAATGCTTTGTGCTTAAAAAATACAAAAAAAAACTTTATACAAGTAAATTATAAAATAGAATGTCATATAACATAAATACACAAACCTAAATACAAAGAGAATGTCTGTTTTTATTATTTAATTTCTCAAATTGAAGTAATATCCCTTTCAATTACATCAATACGTCGCATTATGCGATAATACGGATTGATTAAAACCAGACTGATCGAAACGCACAAAAGAAGTGTTGACTGCAAAAAAAAAATTGCGTATCATTATTTTTAGATTTCTCAATCAAAATGTAATTATTTCTGAAATTTTCAAATTTGACTAATCTGGACTAATCGAAACCGCACTATGTAAAATATTACAGTACTGTTGTTACGTAATATTCAATAGCTGTTATTTGTTAAAGTCGATAACATAATCTGCTTCACTAATTATTATTAACGAAGCCATTCGATTTGCATTTGGAACTAATAATTAATTAGTAGAATGCAAATATATAATTTACTAAATATATGAAGAGATATTTTGACGGAAGCATATGTTGATCATTGCGTAATATGTTGTCATATTTGATGATGGTAAATTACGAAAGTGATATCGATTGCGCACTGATTAACTTCCAAATTAAATAACAAATTTACTCTGCTGTCAACATTATGATTTATGAAATGTAATTATCATATTCTAAAGACAAAATATAAAAATATATATTAATAATTATGTAATTCGCTTATCTAAATATGATTTTTAATATATTCTAATAAAAAAAAGTTTATAAAAATGTTCTTATGAATAAAATTCTAAAAGCTCTAACTTGTTACAAGGAGATATGTAGTAATAAAAAATTAACTGTCCAAAAAAAAATCATAATTTCTGTTGATAATGATCTGTTTTTGTTGTATTTGTTTCTTTTGTCGTTTTTTATTAAATAATTGTGATGTCTACATTGAAAAGTATTTGTAGGTAAGTATTTTGTTTATTTTAATCTATTTTTTCAAATGTATGCAGTCAATAATACATCATTTAACATATACAAAATTAAAAACCATGATAAAGTGTGGTAAGATAAGTATATTTAGAAATTTTTTAAATTCCCCCGACTTACAAACAAATTCGACTTACGAACAACTCTTTGGAACGGAACTAGTTCGTAAATCGGGGGATACGTGTATTGTGAAAAGATTGTGAAACACAGCTCTTTAGAGTATTCCATTTTAAAAGTCATCAAAATACCAAATCAATCCAAATGACTGAAATAAGGTCTAAGAAATAAAAATTTCAATGATCAGATTTTCAACATTGTTCTTTAATATAACAACAGTTAAATTTGTCAGCCAGCAGTAAATTATACTCAATACCAATACAAAACTAATTGCTTGAATATTTTGTAAATAAATATTGTATACAAGACTTTGTATTAATAAAGTATGATATTCGAGCACAAAATAAAAATACAATAATCCACGTACTTTGATTACGCATCGAATGACCAAAGTGTGTAGATACTAAACTTGTAAATGTATGATTTCAAAATGAAATGCTTCTTGTTTCAATGCCGTTAGTCACCGCATTCATTTGGTATTTATTGTTTTGTTCGATCAATGTCGGTTATTTATAAACTCTAGGATGTGTAACAAATTTAAAAAGGAAATAAATGCAGGCAATGCGACTTTCATGAGCCTTTCAATGCGCTAAATATTTTACTTTACAAAATCCGACTCATTCCACTCGTATATTATTGCTTCTAATTGATTATTCGACTTTAGCTGAACACGATATTTCAATCAAATGACAATTTTATACATTCTTTCTATAGATTTTTTTACATTAATCAATTTAAAATACTTAAACAGAATAAGAAAATAAATGATTTTACAATTATATTATAGTTGCTTAAATTATATAATTCAGATTTTAGATATAAATTATGTATTATGTATTATGTATAAATAATTATTGTTCCAAAGAACAAACAACCAAAGTCTTTCTGCTAAATTTAAACAAATTATTGTGTGATAAACATATTTTGTCGTGTGCTCGCTGACTAATTTCAAGTTTATAGATCTTTATTATCTAGCCTCACGTCCTTACTTATCGGTTCATTGGGTATTGCATAATATTACCATTTTACACAGATTAATTGTATAATTTAAATTGATTTCAAGTACATGGATATTTCTTTAAAAATAACATGCAAAGAGCAGAAATATGCTTTTTCGTTTATTTTTCTTTCAACATTAATGAAAAAGAAATATTCTATTGTTATATTTTTATATAATAACTTTTATATACAATGTTATTATTTCTTTTGAGATTACATTTTTTCTGATATAGATTCATTTATTATAAACATAATTCTCTTTAATACATATTTAAAAAATATTTAAATTTTAAATGTTTAGCCTATGTTTAAAACATGATTATATTCAATTAAATTTCAGTAATCTTACTATATTTTAGTTTCTCATAGTTTGCATTCTTTAATATCTTAAAGGTTGATGTCACTTGAGGTAATTACTTGCTTTATGGATATTTTCCTTAAGAAATTCTCTAAATATATTATATACACGTCTATACAATATCATCTACAAAATTTCTTTCTTTTATTTCCTTTTTTTATTTCAGAGAAAGTATATACATTTTTGGGAATAGAAATTACAATGAAAACTAAACTAATTGGTAATATGATTCACTTGAACTTCTATTCAAATCCAGATATAAATTGTGATAATATATTACGCCATAAATCATGCGTATATGATAACGTGTAATTACAGAAAACTGATAATGAGATCGACGTCACCGATTTATTTTGCATGCGCGCAAATTAGAAGCAATTTCTCAAGATGTGGGATAACTACAGTTATCTGAAACCATATGCATCACCCACTTTCCAACTGCCTCGTTTCTTTTCTCACATC